TCAGTTGGCACCATACACCCTTTAGATGGGCCTTAAAAAAAGTGTCTGTATTTTATATAGAATAAAACAGCAGATTTTAGTTTGCATGCATAAATACACTTACTGTGTTTACTGTGTTCTGAGAGCTGAGGTGCTTATTTTGATTTGGTTTCTCAGACACACCAAGATAAGTGCGCAAAACTCACTCACACATGCAGACACACCGACAGGAAACTAAGCTTTCTTTGAACTGTAACTGATGATCAACAGCAAAAAAATGAAAAATTTGACCTCTTCCCAACTGGAAAACCACCAACAATAAAGACACATAATAATATGATGTCAAGGCTTTGAAATCAGAAAATGTCATTATAATGGAAGTCAATGGGGCAAAAGCAGCCACTAAAACAAAGGACAGATTTGCCCAAAGTGTATTATTGTGTTTTTGAAACTTCTCCCAAATTTAGACTTGTCACCAAAAATCATTTCATTTGCTGAAACACAGAGACAGTTGTGGCCAAATTAAGCTTTAAAATCACCCCAGAGTGGATGAAAACATCCCCAAAAGCAGACAAGTGTTTGCACCCAAATAGTCTTTTTGTGGTTAATAGTGTAAATCACAGTTTAATTTAAGTGCACTGACCTTCTTTTGATTCATTAAAAATGTGACAAATTGATAGCATTCAATATATAACAGCAACAAATTATGACTGCGTCACAAACAAACAAAAAATAGGGTTCTATTGAATGCACACTTGCTGAACAAATGCATGATTTTCTTTCAAAAAAATCCTACTAACCCAAAATATTTGATCTCCATTGCATAAAATGAAATTAACTCTACGCATGTTCCTATTGTAGTCCAACAGGTCAATTACTCTCATTTGTCCAAATGTTTTGACTCCTAAAGTTTGGAAGACTTACTGGAAAGCTGTTTTGCTCTTGCAATTTAAGTAAGTGCCATGGAGAGAAGAACAACACTAGAAGCCAAACCTGCCATGACACTGCCAAACCCAGAAGAGTCTCAACATAAAGCTCTCATTTAATCTTATTAGATCTGAGCTTTGAGCATTATATCTTCAATGTTTCCAAACACAACACGGCTCTCAGCCAAAAGAAACTGCTTTTCCCCACACATTTATAGAAATGTCATGGGTTTTTCTATAGCTGTGATGTCAGCCACTGTAAATGCATAAATCTGTGTTGTCTTAATATTTATGTTTTGCCATGATGTGTGCATCATCAGAGTTACTTTTTTATTAAACAAGTCAGTACACTAAAAAATGACTTTTGCTTTTTTAATTTAAAATGAGTTGAAACAACACAATTCTCAAGTGTTTTGGGGGCCAACTTAATTGTTTTAAGTTAACAATCCACTTAAATTTGAAAAAAAAAAAAAATTAATCATTCATTCTCCTTAGCATTGTCCCTTTAATCGTCAGAGACTGACACAGCAGAATGAACCGCCAACCATACACTATGCCCAATAGTTTATCCAATTCACCTATAGACTGTAGGGAAACCAGAGCACCCGGAGGAACCCCACACAAACACAGGAGAACAAGCAAACTTCACACAGAAATGCCAACTTGCCCAGCCAGGATTTGAACCAGTTACTTGCTGTGAGGCTGTGTGTATCTCATACACAGTAAAAAGTGTTTAGATGACTTTACTTTGAAAAATGAGTACACCTTAAAATTATTAAATAAACAAACTGTAAAAAGTGATTAGTTACTTAAAGCGAGTAAACCAACCGCCTTAAAAACAACAAGTTGACTTGATTATAAAATAGTGTAAGTAAACCCATTGTAACTTGAAACTGTTAAGTTGACCTAATTTTTATAATTATGCAAATTGTACTCACTTTAAAAAAAATAAATAAATAAAAGTAAACTAATCACTTTTTATCCAATACACCTTTATTATATTTGATTTTCTCCCCAAGCTTTTCTGTATCAAGCAAAATGACATATAGTAAATTAAATCTGCTCTTCCAGACTCCAGTGTGTGTTCAGTCTATAATTGTACATTTCATACAGTAGACTTAATGAACCACCAAATATGAGATATTGTGATAATTTCAGTAATTATTTGAAAACAAACGTTCTAAAATAGTCTGACACAGTAAAAAGGGATTAGTTGACTTAAAAAAAACTAAGAACAATAAGCATAATTATAAAAATTAGGTCAACTTTGGAGTTCCAAGTTACAATGGGTTTACTTACATTATTTTTCTAAAGTTAACTTGTTGCTTTTAATGCCATTGGTTTACTTGCTTTAAGTAACTAATATTTTTTGCTGCTTTTTCAAACTACAGTCTTTATTTATAATGAGCTGAATCAAGACAATTCTTGGGGTTTTTGTGGGATAACTTAATTGTTTTATGTTCAATCAATTTAAATTTGTAAAAACAAGTTAACTTAATAGATTTGTGTTAAGAACATAAAGGAATTGCGTGAAATCCAATGAACTTAATTGAACTTAGAATTAGTTGCATTTCTAAAAGTATGCACTGTAAAACTAATTGAGGAAACCTATTGCAACAAACCATTGAGTAAAAAAAACTAATCCTAATGGGACTGTGAACTTACTCCATTTAAGTTAAAGTAATGAGGTATTTAATTAGATCATTACCTTCAACACTGAGTTCAAAACTCTTTTCAAATGAGTAGAATTAACTTTTAGTCAATTTTAAAGTAGACTGTTGGGGTTTACAGTGTGTATTTTGTCTCTCTGAAGTGTATGACGTGTGACCATGCCTTACTCTTTTTATTGCTACAAGACAAACATAGTAAAACTCCTGGCAAGAATCTAGCTCATTGACATTTTCTTTAAAACACACAAGAGGAGAAATGCAGTTACTGTAACCTTGAACTTTTGAGTTTACCAAAACGTCAAATTTGTCACTTACTATTTCTATAAAATGCAATATCTCTGTAAGTTTTAGAGCTACTGGATGTCTCTATTTGTAAACGTCAAGCCATTGATCTCATCATATGCAGTGCAAATAATGTCTTCTAGCTTCATTATGCTTATATATTCAAAACAGCATTTTTTTTAATCTGGAGTTGTGTCTGGGGTTTTATTTGGGTGGGTGATTTCTCATACAGACGCTCATGATTTAAGCGGTGCTGCTCTGCTGAATATTAATGTTTCCCCGAGGCCGGTCTTTATGGCTCTGCTGTTTATAGTGGACTACATCTGTAGTGATTTAAAAGTGAGATACCCATCACAGCAATACCAGCTCTGGACTGATAGAATCTTATTCATCTCATACCTTGAATTACAAAAAAATTAAAAGCACCTTAGCTTTTGAAAGAACACAATATCATGGTCAGGAAGCGTTTAACGTAGTGCTGAAAACTCATTAGGCTGCCCTTTAAAATGTGTTGGTTATCTGACAAGACCAGACTGATAACCACAGTTTTCACCTTTGGACTTTTTGAAAAGTGTGTTTAAGTGGTAGCTGAAAATGTTTATCAGCTGAAAAAAGATATTAGATGGTGTGAAAACATCAGTGCTTGAAAACACCGTCCAGATGACAGTAGATTATTTCTTTAAGCCAATTTTTTTATTGATTTCTGATGCATGACTACGTAACCTGTTTTTGAGGGTCTTTTAAAGCTGAATTATTCCATATTATATCACCACCATCCCTGAGAAAACTTTCAAATCAACTAAACTTCCAGGTTGACCTCAAAATCGATGTCATCAAAGAACTGGGGTAGTACCTTTTCAAAAGTACACATTTGTACCTATAGGTTCCCTAAAGATACCTCAAAGGTACATATTAGTACCTAAAAGTAGAAAAGTTTACCACTTCAAATTTGTAGGTACAAGTAAGCTTTTGAGATACCAATAAGGACCCTTTAAGTACAAATGTGTATCTTCTGAAAAGGTACCACCCCAGTGACAGCTCTCCTACCTTTATTTTCGAGAGTGTATGCACTTTTTTTTTTTTACAGCCCATCATGTTTTGCCAAAAAATAAGGAAAAACATCAGTTAAAATGTAAACAAGTGCCGAAATGTTTGCTCTGTGAATGAATTTTAAAAACTTGGTACAACCATTTACATTTTTGTATTCTTTGACATTTTTGTACCCTGACAATACTAAATATTAGAAGAAAGTTTAATTGTTTAAATTGCTATATATTTAATAACACTAAAGGCTTGGTAACTAGCCTATTTAACAGCAATATTACAGACAACAAATATATCCCTGCAGAATTATCTATCTATCTATCTATCTATCTATCTATCTATCTATCTATCTATCTATCTATCTATCTATCTATCTATCTGTCTGTCTGTCTGTCTGTCTGTCTGTCTGTCTGTCTGTCTGTCTGTCTGTCTGTCTGTCTGTCTGTCTGTGTGTGTGTGTGTGTGTGTGTGTGTGTATATATTTACATTTATATATATATTTTCAGTAAGTAAGATACATTGTCTGAAGTCAAAATTTCTTCAAAATGCATAAACATTTTCACGTGACGATTTTTAAAAGAAATTTACAATTGCTAAAAATATCAAATGTTTTGTTGTGACAGAAAATCAGGGCTATATTATTTCTTAACACTTCAAAACTAAAACGTATTGTGTTTATTAAAGATATCTCAAAACTTGGCAGTAATCGTGCAATCAATCAATCAATAAATCAATCAATTAATTAATCAATATTTTATAGCTTTTAAATTTGGCAGAAATGTCATTAGTATTTAATAGAATAAAACGATAACAAATCGTAAATTCAAGATAATTTTCGGTAGTCTCAATCTTTCTACCCAAAGAATATCACAAAAAGTCACTAAGAATATTAGTTCAAAACATGTTAAAAACAAAGCAAAATCACGGTGGACAACATTTGCAATTTGAACAGAAGATAATAAAGTAAACAGATTATTCAAACTTTTGATTGATTCCACAAACTACCTTATTTTACAGTTAATAATCACAACAAATTTCATTTGAATCCATTTGCACGTGCGTAAACACAAATCAAACCACACAAAAAAAATTAACTCACCTTCCCTCGGTGCTTCAGGATCCCATGCTGACCACATCTGCACGGAGAAAAACGGAGTCCAACACACTATGTAAGCCAGTACGATAACAAAAGTCATTTTAACGGTGGTGATTTTGGCCTTGGAAATGAGTTTGACGCTGCTGACCCGCGCGAGCGCGTTGCCTTTGGATGCTTTGGGTGTGAGAGTGATGCACTGGTCCCTCTTCGTCTTCCTTTTAAAGTTTTGCCATATTTTAAAGCTTATCAGCCCGTAGCAGACACTCAGAATGGTCACTGGTATAATGTATATTGTCAGACTAATCCACGTAATGTAGGCTTTCGCTCCCCAAGGCTGAACAAAATCTCCCCAGCAATCATAGACTCCTGAACCCACCTCCCGTAGGGAGAAGATATAAACCTGCGGGATGCTGAAAAGTAAGCTCAGTGCCCATGAACAAATCACGTAACAGCGGTCCTTTCTCTTGTGTAAAGAACGAAGAGGTTGGCAGATCGCCATGCATCTGTCTATGGACATCAGCACCAGCATGTAGGTGGAGGCGAACATCCCAACAGTCTGAAGATACTTCACCAACCTACACAAGATGTCCGGACCATAAAAGCGAAAAGTGATGTCCCAAATGAGTTGAGGAAGAACCTGGAAGACGGCCACGACCAGGTCTGCAATGCTGAGGTGCTTCATGAAGTAATACATGCGAGACTGGCTGTGCTTGGCTGTGTGGATTGCAATAAGGACGCAAAGGTTACCGGCGAGCGCCAAGAACAGCACCAAGGCCAACACGGTAACTTCCACTTTGGCCACCTCTTCGTTCCGCTTGAGGGGATTCACCGTCTGGTTCACGCCGTAGGTTTCATTGGTGGCGTTTCTGGATGACTCATTAAAGGACCAAAAGTCTTGATCCTTGAAGATGTCCTCCATGGTGTCCAAAGCGCACGCCCGCGTCTCCAAAAACAAAACAAAAACGCCAGAAACTAGTTTTCCTCGCGCATAATGCAGCTTTTAACCGAACAGGTGATCTCTAGGAACAGGGATATTCCTTTTGCTGATCTGTTGTGGTGATCCCTCAACTCGTTTCAACCTTTACTGTGAGATATAAGCAGATTTTATTTTTAAAAATATGACATTTTGCCTAAAGTTTTTAGGGAGTAATTATTACCACGCTTTTTACAACTAAAATGTATTAAATATGCAATTAAACAGTCATTTGGATTTCTTTAAACAAACTTAAAAACAGGCTACTTCTTAAAATATTGTAATAATAATTAAATCATAATAGACCAAGTACTTACAGTTATTATCCATTGCTTGGTGTTCTCCAGCAGCATGCAGAGTAGGTGTAAATGAGAGTCCTGGAGGTGGAGGAGCTGCTTTGCTCTCACTCGGCTCACACTGAATGGATCGCGTCACGATATCACCACTTATACATCTTCTCAATGGTTCTCCCTACCCTGCCTTACCAGTGACTTCCACTAGGGGTCTGTGTGGTCTATTACAAACCATTGAGCTCCTCTGGTCATAGCCTGAATTCTCTGTATGTTTTCTTGCATACTGCGTTGTAATTAGGCGATATTTCATTTTTCATAAGGGGCATTTATGCTGAAAATGGAGCAGTTATTACAGCAATTAAATCAAATGATTTATATTGGGAAAATCTGGTCTTATTTTGTATATTTAAAAAAAACTGAAATATCCTTAAATTACATGCAATAATAAATATGAATAATATTTTTCAGCCTTTTTCTCTCAAGGACATCAACACAAAATATTTGACTTATTCATGTGAAATAGCAGTCAGCACTGTTATCTTTGCTAGCTCGCAGCTCATGTTTTGAATATCTCAAGATGACTTATTAGTATGCCCCAAATGGATCTTATCGCACTCCATCAACTGAATGCCTGAGTCCTGATCTGCGTCAGTGTCTCTCAGTGGACATCTCACACCAGGGTCAGGAAAATAACTCAAAGTCAACACACTTCAGGAAGATGACATGCATAATCAGTTATGGAAATAACATAAATTGTTAATGTCAGATGATAACATGTTGTAAAAAAAAAAAAGATGTCCATTAACACAATTTGTTTTTATAGTTTTAGATTTTTTTGTTTATAAAAAACATTTATTTATGTTTTGAAAAAAATGATCACTGACCTCGAATTATGTCACAATAGTTTAAAGTGTTACTGATTTTTAACCCACTGGAATTGCTACCACATCAATAAGCAGTGTAGCTCTTTTATTATTAGGAATTTAGACATGAAATAAAAACAGTTTGCTTTTTTTGTTATGATAGTTTTAGTGTTATTACAATATTAAGGAAATTTGAAAGTCACCTGAAATAGTGTACGTCCAATTTGAGTATTAGATGAATATTTATTTTATTCTTCAGCAAAAATGCATTTGAAATGAAATTTGATTCAATTAATTTGCATAATGTCATAGTTTCAGAGCAGCTTTACAAAAACTGCATGTTTCTACATTCACATTCCAAGTTAATAGAGGTGACAGGGTCAAAGTAATTTCTGTGTTTGAAATGAGTTGTATAATTCAAATCATACAGTTAAGTAAACACAATTAAAGTAATTATTACATGCTGTGATGATGATGATGATGATGACAATATATAAAATATGATTCAATACCATACAATATAAATTTGTTTTGCTTGTTTATGAAGAGTCTGGATCAGCATTTAAAGACGTGAAACAGATTACTGTGGACTTTGACAGGGTTAAAGGGGTTTTTAAACCACCACTGAGAAATGTAACCAAAGTAATTTATATCTGTAAAAATGCTGCGTTTCACACAACTGATTTGTGTTGGGACAACATGAAACAAATAAATAACCCATTACTTTTTGCAAATTTAAGTGGATTGAAAATAAAACAATTTTTTGTCTCCTAAAAAACTCAAGAATTGTATTATTGCAGCTCAATTTGAAAAAGTAGTTTGAACAAACAGCGAATATAATTTTTTGAGTACACTTTTCATTAAGACCCTTAAAAATCATATCAACGTGTGTAAAATAGTCATCTAATGTCACCTTTAAAGGATATTTAATGTCAGAAAGGATGTGATAAGAAGAATCACACACACGATAAGATCATCGTATCATAGACTGTCACTGTGCAATCCATTAATGGAGCTAAATCACTCACTTTCCTGTCACTCATAACACCCAAAAGTGGAATGTCCTGAATGTGGCATACGAGGGGAATAAATCACTTCATGCTACAACAGCCTTCATGTTTTCCAGCCCCACTGGTGCACAGCTATCTCACCATCACTCATTTGGCTGGACTTTGCCTCAGATATCCCACTGGGCAACTGCAAGAAATGGTTTATTTGACTCAGATAATCTAACATCTTAACTTTCAAACCATGTGCTAGCTATCATAGACACCAGGACTGTAAAGAAAAAAGGTATTGTGCAAAGGGAACGATTCTGTATTCTGCTTTGTGATTATGCTTCGAACAAAACATCTGCCTCCACTGTCTTTGGAGAAAATATGCATAAAACTGTTCAGCTGCCTTACATTGCAAGTAGGTATAAAGAATCCTTGTCACAGTGGTGGGAAAAATCTTGCTGAGACCACAAAGAGCTGTAAATTACACCTGTCATTGGCATCTCTAGTTAAATTTCAAGATGCTTTCCACTGTACAGTGGCAAAACCACTGAATAGGCTCCACGTGCCATCACAAAATTTATGACAAATTTACCCAAACAGCTCCTGCGAAATGACACACAGATTTCCCAGCTTGAGATTCTTCTAACAGATATGTGATGCTCATAGAGGAACCAAGCTAAATACTTGTGCAAATGCAGGTTCCTGTCATGCCGTACAGGCCATAATTGGCATAATAACACTCTCCCTATCACAGAAGCATCCTAAAATCTCTTTTGGCCACCAAAGAGGAGCTCGGAATGTGACTGCAGTCACCTTATATAATCAGAGTTTTAGCTTCAAAAACAGTCTGGCTACTTCTACAGAAAATAGCAGGACCTGGCTGACCCTATAGCAGACATATTCTTCTTACAGTGCTGTTTATTTACAGCAAAGCTCACTCATTATTCTCAGTGGAGAAAGGGAACAGCTCTGTACTTCTTCACCAAACTTTAAACAACTAGTTTACTTTTCAAAGAACATCCATGGCTTGAAAAAGCATCACTTTTGTTTAATTGGTAACATTCTGAACTCTTTAGCTTGCTCCACCCAATAGTTGACCAAGTTTAGACTGTTTTAAATAATGACTGTTAAAGTCATTTAAAGAATAACTGTTTTAAATAAGTTTACAAACAGCATTGTTGGTTTACAAAAAATCAAACAAACATAATCCTGTTGCACTATTACACTTGATTTTGATTTATTGTAAAAAATAAATATATAAAATAAGATGTTAAATGAAAATCTGAAATATTTTATGGCATACTTTAAAAAAATAAAGATGATTTAGTGTTCAAAAATGATTTATCTTGCATATATATATATATATATATATATATATATATATATATATATATATATATATATATATATATATATATATATATATATATATATATAAATGAATTGGTCTTAGGTATTAATTCTGGTACTTTTACCATAAACCGACATATCTACTATTTGGTAGAGGTTGATATTTTAGAAATTATGGGAGGTGTTAGAAAAAATTGCATTGAGTGTGTTTACTATAACAACATGAGTTAAGAAATCCATTTCAAAGATGTTTTTTCTTTGTTGGGCAGTTAAAGAATTAAAGCTGTTTTCATATGTAGATTTCTGAAAAAAACGTGTCTCATCTATCAGAAATTTGATTTGTATTGGCCCGTTATTCTCGCTGGCACAGCTCCACTGCAATTTGATTTTTGACCTTCATTCCCTTTGGCGAGTGTAGCTGGTTAAAACAAAAACGAGGCTAAGAAAGTATCTAGAAATGGTCAGCCGTGCCTTTATAAACAAATAAATGAGAAAATTAATCAAATTAAAATGAAATGGTACAGAGGGTTTGTTTATTTGTCAAATATTTGGTTATTGTGCTGAACAAAATACAAAGCAGATGAAATGATGAAGTGAGAAAGTGATATCCTTTAATGCACATTTCAGTATGGCTACACAATATTATACATATATGAACTGTGCACCTAGAAAAAGGTGTAATGTTTTTGTTTTAGAAAGAGGTTTCTTTCGCTCAATAAACTGCATACATTTGATGAAGAACAAATACTGATGTGGAACAGACACACGTGATTATCGATTAGGTAGCAATGATCCATGAAAGGCCAAACACTCATCAGTAGTAACTTGGTTTCCAGTGGCTTTGCTATACAGTTTACTGTACATACATTCATCAACTACTTATTTTAGGTGCACCTTACCAGTAATTTTGCCATTAAATCCATCTTAATTCTTTATGCCTTAAATTCAACAAGGTGCTGGAAACATTGCTCAGAGATATTAGTACATATTGACATGATAGCATCACATAGTTGCTGCAGATTTGTTGGCTGTAGATACATGATGCAAATTTTTTATTTCACCATAAAGGCAATTTGACATTATGCGTTATCCACTTGGGAGTGACCTTTTAAAATGAATACACTGTAGTCATAAAAAATGAACATGGTCAGCAACAATATGGTTTTTAAATGATGCTCAGTTGGTTTTAAAGTCTGTGTGGGATCAAAATTTACAATGTTTATTTTGCTAGTTCACTTAGGGTGAATAATTAATGCAAGTTAATCCACTGTAAATTTGTTTGTTTTAGTAATCTTCAATGAAACTCTGACCATTTGTTTTCACCTTTGGAAAGGTGGTCCTTCTGTTCCTTTTCAGCCTGAGAATATTATACACTTTAACTGAACGTACATAACTCACATTTCAGTATGCAATGTAGACATATGGCTACACAATATTATACAGATATAAACTGTGCACCTAGAAAAAGGTATACTCACTATGTTTTTGTTTTTGAAAGAAGTTTCTTTTATTCGATAAACTACTTGGAAAAACAAATACTGATATAGAACAGACACACATTATTGATTAGCTAGCAATGATCCATGAAAGGCTAAAAACTCATCAGCAGTAACTTGGTTTCTAGTAGCTTCACTATACACTACATACATTCATAAGCTACTTTTTTTAGGTGCACCTTACTACTACTTTATCCTTGAATCTCCCTTAATTTGTCATTCTTTAAATTCAACATGGTGCTAAAAACATTCATGTTTTTTCTATATCTCTGAGATATTTTGACATGATAACATCACATAGTTGCTGCAGATTTGTTGGCTGGACATACATGATGCAAATCTCTTGTTTCATTATGAAGGCCTTTTGAGTCTGGTGAACTCACTGACATGTTGAAAACAAACTAAAAGACTGAGATTATTTGAGCTTTTTTAAGCTTCATAAAACGAATACATTGGAGTCATACACTGTAGTTTTAAAAAATTAACATCATCAGCAACAATATGGTACTTAAATGATGCTTGATTTGATTTTTAAGGCTTGGTTGTGTTTATGGAGTGCAAAGCAATTTGTGCTCATTCTTCATTTGTAGAAAATCACATATTTTTTCATATATCTTACTTTGATTATATATAGCTATTCAGCTAACATGAAATCTGAAAGGCCTGCCTTCAAGAGGCTCTGATTGGTCAGCTAACATACTGTACTTTGATTTGCAGATCAGCTCCACATCACCAGGAAGTGTCTCTGTTATAACATTACAGTGCCTCTGGCCATGCTCCTTTACAATGCGGGGTGTATGTGCGTAACCGGAAGGGTTTATGACATCATTATAGCAGATGTATTTTTTGTAGTCCCCAAACTTCGTTTGCTGTAGTCTTTGCTAAGCTAACTCTGTAAAACCCAATGTCTTCCTTTGCATTAAACTTTACATTCAGAGATGTATGTTCACACAGCTACATTACAAATCAACT